TCAGGGGTTCCCAGAGCCACGGGATGTACATAGGATCATGGGAGGTCTTTGGGACTGTAGTTTTCAGGGAGGCCAGCAGAGGGCAGGCTGGCCAATACTAAATGGGACTATGCTCCCAAGATGTCCACCCTGAGAAACAGTAGCAGAAAAAGAGGCCTGTCTGCCTACGGTCACCTGAGTATGTTGTGGTCCAAGTCTAGACTCTGTTCTGGCCCTCTGATACTCGAGAAACCTAGAGAGCCCATTCTACTGTGTTTGCCCACCTTTTCCTGTCAGTGGCCCACCTAGCCTACTCACCTGAGACAGGGGGCTTCTTGATTTCAAAGAGGACAGTGCCTGAGTCCATGTCCCGGATCTTGAATCTGACGAAGTCAATCTTGTAGATATTTTCTTCCGGGGAGCACAGGTAGTCTAGGGGAGACAGGCAGGTGAGCAAACAGGGACCCCAAACACCACTGTCAATTTAGTTTCTGTGGGACCCCAAGGCTCACTCTGATCCCACTGGCCACTAACCTCCAGAAAGAAAACTGTGACCATTTGGGAGAAGTTTCCACACTGCAGGGGACAGAATTCTGTTATGAGGACATTGTCAGGGATTAACAGTCCCATCCTAGTGGCCTCACAGGATCAGGCAAGGGAGGTTACCTCTACCAAACCTTTCCTCCCACCTCTATTTTGGGGACCCTTATTTCAGCCTCTGCTCTGTCAAACTGGCAGGCATCCTTTGGACAAGTGTACCTCCTGTGTGGGGGACCTCACTCCAAAGGGAGCGTGCAGCTCTGCCTCTTGAAGGAAGGCTGCTATAGTTCTTCCTTGAAGTGTGTCCCATCCCCAGTACACACCCTGTGGCATGACATAGATGCATCAGGCAAGGCTGATCTTGAGGAGACTTCCCCTTGCATGGGTATTTTGGAGGCAGGTTGGTACCCCTTCCCTATTCTCTTGCTCCCCGCCCTCCTCCCACATAAGCAGCTTATGCTAGCTCTGCTGACTAAGCTCAGAGCCAGGCTACTGGGGAAGAAGAGGCCAACTTTGCTCAACAGATCCTCTGCTGCTCTCCCAATGGGAGGACATCTTAGCAAACAGAGGGAATCCTTAGAGGTCATTTTTCCAGCCTTGGCCTCGAGCCACCTTCAGGGATAAAGTGCTCTCTGGCCAAGCCAGAAGAGAGTGTGGTTGGAGCAGCAGGATATGAATGAGGCAAGGAGAGTCCTGGGCTCAGAAGGAAACCAGGAAAGCTAGGCATTGCCTAGGGAGTTCATGGTCTGACCCTAACCTCTCTTCAGTTGTTGCTATTCCTAAGCCGGGGGTCTCATGTAGCCTAGGCTAACCCTCAAACCCACTAGGTGGCAGATGCTAGCCTTGAACTCCTGTTCTTCCTGCTTCATACAACTTACTGTTCTCATGGCAGCAATAGCAAGTCCTAGGGGAAGCCCTGGCAAGAAACAGGAAGGAGCAGAAAATGCTAGGGAGGCTTGGGTGCTGTTAAGGTACCACATCCTCCCTGCTGACCTACAGAGGCCGGAAGTCACCCCTGGGCCACCTCCTATTCCTCTTGTGGTTGGAAGAGGAAGTGAATACAAAGTCATTCTCTCTTCCCTAGGGCAGCCCCCTCCAGGAAGCCCTCCTGACAGCCCTCTAGCACCTTGGAGCTTGGCAGAAACTATATAAAATTTTAGAGGGTGCTGAGCTCTGACCTATCCATCACAGCTCAGTAAGGTCTGCCCCACAGCTATAGAAGATGCTGCAGAGGGAAGGGAGGGTGGGCAGAACCTGGAAGCAGGATCCTAGCTGCCCAACTCCCAGGAAAAACCTCCCTTTTTACCCTGTGTCCAGCTTGGGAGCCTCTCCTCTCCCTGGGAACAACTTCTCACACCCAGACCTTAGTCTCTTACACTGAAAACTCAATCTGTCAGCCCCTCTGCCCTAGCAGGGAGTGAGGGTCAGGGGCTGCCTAGGGCTCAGGACACTGCAGCCACTCTCTCCCCTCTGCAAAACAAGAGGCCTAGGACCCAAGGTCAGTCCAGAGTAATGGCTCAGAAGCCAATTGCTCTCCCTGTAGCCACAAATAGCTCCCTAAGCCGGATTCAGGGCCTGGTAATCCAGGAACAGCAAACCTCAGACCTATGTGATTAGGGTCAGAAGATAGCAGGCAAGGTGGAGAGGCCTGGAACCCTGTTTTCAAATCCCACACAGGAAAGGGCTCTCACAAGGCACTTGTCCTTGCTCAACCTCTACAAGCTATGAATTCCCTCCAGACTGGGAGACCCATGCTGTGACTTCACCTGGAGGCTTCCTTCGTTGCAAAATAAGCCTTCAGTTATCCAGGAGTGAGGCAGGTGATCCTGCCCCCCACCCATAGGGCTAAATTGAACTGTATGGGCTGCTGTTACAAAATGCAGCCCACTGGCTTCCACACCAGCCTGGTCCAGGCCCCTCCCCCCTCCACTGATGCCTGCTTGTCCAAGGGAGGTCTAGCCAAGAATCTGCCGCTGCTGCCTAGCTCTGAACGGAGGAGGGAGGCCCCTAGGGACCCAGATGCACAAGCTCAGGCCTGCCATCCTGGTCTCCACAGCTGTCTGGGAGCCCTCAGCTCTGCTGCTCCTGCAGATCCATCCAGGCTTTAGGTTCCACTCTAGCACTTGTGTCCATCCCATAGAAAGGGACTGCTAGCTCACAAAGGGAGCTGGAGCAGGTTGCTGGTGACCCACCCATTCCAAGGCAGTGTGCCACTTTCTCTCCAAATACCTTCCATTCCTCAAGGCTCAGCCAACCTTCTGCCAGAAGACTCTCTAGTCCTGTTCACCATCTGTAGTGACGCCTGCCTCTGCCCTGAATGCTCACTTATCTGCCTGCAGACAGCTGCTCTGAACCAAGTCCTGTGTTGATAAAAAAGCCCTGTTGACATAGCATGCATAGCATGCCAAGCATTGTCGAAAAGCAGGAGACAGGCTTTATTTCACAATAACCTTGAGGGAGGTAACATTGTTCCCATTTTACAGATGAAAAAACATGCCTCTGGAAATGAAATTACATCCCCAAGGTCACACAACCAATTATGGGGCAAAAGTGGGACTCTAGTCCAGGCAGCACAGCTTGGAAACAGCTCCAGTGGAAAATGGGCTTCCATTGATGAGAGAGCCCTGGTTAAAAAAACAAGTACCAGCCAGTCCAGGCTTGGGATCACACACTTGTTTCCATGACACAGCCCACAAGCCAACAGACTGAAGCACCCGATCAGTAACGTTCCTGGGAAGAGTATGGCGCTAGCCCTAATGGGGAAGCAGGGTGAGGGACCCTGGAGGTATTCCTCGACTCCACCTCGCCAGAGGATAGGTGCTTAAGAGACTGCCAGTCCGGCACACTCCTCTGTGACCAGCTTCAAAGAGTCCACAGGGGAAAGGGTTCAGATGCAACTGCTGCCCCACCTCTACCATGGGAAAAGGGGTGGGCCCCTTGAAAAGGAAGGAGGGAGGTGAAAATAAGCCCTACTACATGTAGAGGAGGGGCGCACCAAGACACCAAGGAAAATAACAGAAATCTCAGGCTTGGAGGCAAAGGGAGAGTAAAGGGACACAGAGGAGGGGCACTGCGTGGGGGAAGGGTGAGCGCGGGGGCCGGACTCTGAGCCTCGTGGGCCCCCTCCCGAGCTCTCCCTCCAGCCCGCGGGTGGCGCTCCCTTGCCGGTGCTCACCGCCCGTAATCCGCTGCAGCCCCAGCACGTCGTCCGGCCCGATGGGCTGCTTGCCCTGCAGCGGTCCCACCCTGGGCCCCGGGCCTGGTTCTGGCTCCGACTCGGACCCGGACTCGGATTCTGCCCTAGGCTCCCGCGTGGGTTCCACACTCCGGTTCGAGGCCCCTGGAGCGGGCTCCGCCCCCGTCCCGGTCCCGCCGCCGCCCTTCTTCACCTTCATGGCCTCGCGGGGCGGCGGATCCTCGCCTGCTGCTACCGCGTCTGCTGCCTGAGCTGGCTGGAGTCGGGGGAAGGGGGAAGAGTCCGCCGCCCCACCCCCGGTCGGGCCCCAGGTGCCGTCCCGCCTTGTCCACGCCCATAG